GCACACGGTTGCACTTTAGCACAACTTTCCATCTGCAGACAAATGACCAGGGTGAGCGGACCATACAGACTCTCAAGGATATGTTGAGAGCCTGCGCTATAGATTTTGGTGGGAGTTGGGATTCCTACCTACCCCTTGCTGAGTTTTCATACAGCAACAACTTTCATTCCAGCATTGGCGCCCCGCCTTATGAGCTGTTGTAAGGCTGGAGATGTCGTACCCTGGTCTGTTGGGGTGAGGTCAGACATAGGGTGATGTGTAGGACGGAGGTGGTTTTGCAAACCACTGAAATGATTCAGCAGCTCAGACAACGACTGTAGACCGCGCAGAGTTGGCAGAAGAGTTACGCTGACATATGCCGATCTGAGTTGGAGTTTCAGGTCGGGGATATGGTGCTTCTGAAGGTCTCACCCTGGAAGGGCGTAATCTGTTTCTGGAAGAGGGGGAAATTGGGTCCCCGATATATTGGACCATTCAGTGTCGTTACCAGATTCGACAAGGTGGCATACAGACTAGATATGCCAGATGAGATTATCCGTATTCACAGCACCTTCACGTTTCGCAGCTGCGAAAGTGCATCATGGATCAAGAGGCAGTGGTATCGTTGGGTGATATTTAAGTCGATGAGCGCTTGAATTACGTTGAGAGGCCAGTAGCTATATTGGAGAAAAAGATGAAAGTCTTACGGAACAAGGAGATACCTCTGGTGAAGGTACAGTGGGAGCATCGAAAGGGGTCCGAATGGAATTGGGAGCCGGAGGCTGAAATACAGGAGCATTACCTGCAGTTGTTTACAGCAGCAGCAGACTTCGGGGACGAAGTCTAGATCAAGTGGGGGAGAATTGTAACGCCCCGACTCTCAGGTATGAGTTATTATATAAATTTTATTAATTTATGGGCCTACTCGACGAGTCTATGCCCTAACTCGTCGAGTAGCAGCGTGATCGGCCACATCATTAAGTGATAGACTCGACGAGTCAGAGCTGGTAGAGGAAACCCTAATTCTTCGGGTTTAGCACCCTATTTAAGGGATCATTAGCCTCCTTGTGACTCTCCACAACCTCTAGAGAGTCCAACAAAAACCCTAAACGAGTGTGTGCCATTTTGTGAGGATTTCAAGGCTTGGAAAGTAGATTTGATGGAGAGGACTTGAAGATAAGAAGGTAGCAACAAGAGAGCTTGTGTGAATTTGTAACTTGTCCTCTCTAGTTTCATTTAGAGGTATCAATTCGTTTTCTTGACTCAAATGCTTTCTAGATCTCATGTGGGTGAAGATTTGGGGCTTTTGCCGTATTAGGGAGCCTTTTGAGGTGGAGGAGCTGGATCTGAAGTTTCCACTTCAGATCTGGACTCTTCTTGGATCATAGATTCATAGAGTCAAGTTATGGAAGTGAATAAACTTCCCTTTTGTGACTTAATCCCCATTTCATGCTTGTTTATTGCCTTTTGAGATTCCATAGCCATGCAAGTACGTAAAGGTAGCAACTTTACGTTGCTACTGCACCCTCGGAACCCCTATCTACATACTGGAACGATTGATTAACTCTAAATCGATGGATTATGGATTAGGTTGTGTGAACTCGACGAGTCAGATGATCTGAATCGACGAGTCATACCAGGGTTTTCGAGTTCTGAGTCGCAACTGAACTCGGTGGGTCTTAAGGATGACTCGACGAGTCTGATGAGTTTACTCGGAGTAATAGAATGTTATGGACTCGAAGATTTGGATGTTGCACTCGACAAGTCAGGTCAACATAATTAGTTAACTGTTAACTGTTGAGTTTGACCAGAGGGGACCAGAACCTTATGAGGGCAGTTTAGGTAACTCGAATTTATGGTGGATCTGGTTAGGTTGGTGTTCGGGAGTAAGGTTGGGAAACATTTGATACATCATATTCGACTCTCTAGCAAGGTGAGTTATCCTCACTATACTAAGGGGTCTAAGGCACTAAGGTCGGCCCATTTGATATGTTATCTTGAGTCGTGTTAGATGCTGAGTACGACTTAGTGTTGCATGCTAGTGGTTATGCCTGTTAGGTAGGTCTGTAGGACTACCTGTGATGTTATAAGATTATTGCATGCTCGATTCTTATGATTTATGTGTTTGTTATATGGGATGGGTTGAGGTTGTACTGCTTCGTGCGGTAGCCAACAAACTCTAGGAGCATTCCAGTTACGGGCTGAGGGAGACTCATACTGTGGGTTTGTGGGTATTACAGTCTGTATGGCTGTGGACCCGTTATGTGCTGATTTGTTCAATTTATTATATGATTGTGTGGACTGTATGAGTATCGGTATTTTGGGGGTAACTCACTAAGCTTTCCCGCTTACAGTTTCAGTTTATTGTTTCAGGTACCTCAGGGGATCGCGGTAAGGTGAAGGCATGATCGTACAGCTAGCTCCTCACTTTAGGTTTATGTTTTTGGGATATACTCTGATAAATAATATTTTGAAAACATAGTTGTTATGTTTGATGAATTTGATGTGTTTTTAAAAGTTTAAATTTGCTTGAAATTTTTGGGTGCTATATACGAGGTTACAATAAATTAAAAAAACGAAAAAAATTAAAATAAAATCGTAGGCTTCATACGGAACCTACAGTGTACAAGTCCACATTGTACAATCTGTGCATTGTGCACTTGTACACCGTAGGTTTCATATGAAACCTACGGTTTTAATATATTTTTTTGTTTTTTTAAATAATTAGCCCAATATACAAAAACTACTCCTAATCAACAATATGGTAAAATTTTGATAAAAAATGGATGTACCTCGTTGTTCTTTGGGTACTCTATTGAGAGAAAAAAGTAGGTAAAACCAAAAAAATAATAGTTAAAATAACCTAATCTGACAGATTATACATTATATACTATGGACCAATGGACCGCAACATTGCCACAAAAAAGTAGTTTTCGACTGTTGACCATAGGCAACTTGCATTGACCGTAGTCAATCCTGATCAATCTACTATTTTGTGGGCTACTTTTGAATAATGTGTTTTTTTAGATAGATAAAGTATTTTAAAACTAATAAACTATTTTGAAAACTTATCCCAACACCCGCTAATGTTTTTATTTTAGGGTTTACCATTTATCCAATATTCAGAGGGTGTTTGGATAGGGAAAAAATATGTTGTTTATTGTTTATTGCTTAATCTCACCGCAATAAGCAAATTTAAGTGTTTGGATAGGAGTCTTTAAAAATCAGCTTATTGCGGTAGGAATAAGCTAAATAAACCGATTTAAATAAGCACAAGGGAAATGCTTATTAATCATTTTACTCATATAAGATGTTTTGTTTGTCAAACAATTAAAATGTTTATTGTTTATTGCTTATTTCCACCGCAATAAGCTAATCCAAACATATTTTAAAGAAGTGTTTATTACTACCGCAATAAGCAAATCTCTATCTCTATATTCTAATAAATAAATAGGTTTATTCTTCTATTGACAAGTGTCATAATATTAGAATCCATCATTAATATTATATGTCTCTTATCATGCTACTTGTCAACCTATTAATTATCCATTTTAAATTTCTTATTTAATTATATTAAATTAATAATTGATTCTTCACTTTAAATTTTAAATTTAAATTTCTTCGATTTAATTATATTAAATTAATAACATTAGATTAAAAATAAAATAAAATCAATACAAATTATAAGGTGATATAATTTCACGTATTTGTTTAAATCAACGATTATAATTTTATATACCTAAAAAAATATATTTTAAGTAATAATTTATTTAAAATATTTGATTAATAATTTTAATTTTTTATTATGAAAATTTAATTAATTTTATAACTATGGTTCTTACGCCTTGTTCCCGAGTTCCACTTAAAGAGAGAAATGGGAGGATACGAAGGGAAAGTGAGGGGTGTCGAAGGAAAATCGTGTTCCTGAGTTTCATTAATGGAATGAGAGTGATGGGAGGGAAAGAATTTTAAAGTTATATTTTCCTTCCAAATTTATCTCCCAAATTGGACAGATTTGGGAAGAAAGTGAGGGAAGGAAAATTTTAAATTTATTTTCTTTTTCCTCCTGATTCGGGACACAAAAGCTAAAAATTTTCCTTTCCTTTCCTTTCATTTCCTTCGAACTCGGAAACACAGAATAATGAATATTTTTCTTCACCTCCCTTTCTTTCTATCAAAATTTCCTTCTTTTCCCTTTAATGAATTTACATAAAAACCCGGCGGGTTATAAACCAGTAAAACAGTAAACTTATAACTAGTAAACAATAAACTAATACCTAAAAACTATTTATTTAGCGATATATATCTCTAATTTACGAGCTGATTCTGAGACGGAGATCAGAAGCATTGGCACAAGTCAATTAGGCCAAGAAGAGATTATAATGATCTTCAGTCGCCTTATTTCGAAAGCCACACTGTTAACTGATGATGCCTTTAAAATCCCAGGTCACATCTGGACTACTGGACGGGAAATCCCGAATTCATACGCGATTTATGCAAGCCACAATCCCTGAAATTGGATTCGCAGGTCGCTCCCCGCCACTGACGGGGGACTACAAATTCTAGGGTTTTATCCATACACGCTCTCAATATTGTTGAGTGTTGTTTATACGTATTAAAATCAAGTATTAGGGCATTGCACGTTAAGCCCAGTTTTGCAATTGTTGGTAAACATTGTGTGTTTTGGGTTGAAGTTTGATTGTTCTTGTATTGCAAAACACACACACCATCCTCCTCAAATCCAGAAAGAGACAGCAGCTACATCACTTTACCATTGCCTCTCTTGATCCCAATATGTACCTGACTAGATTTGAAAGCTCAGTGGAACAATTAATTAGGTAGAAAAAATTCATGCAGACCCATTCCGATGTCCCAATTTGTATGCCTCTAAATTGAAAAATCTCATTCGAATTCAATAACTGTAAGTATTTGAGTTTAGATATGCATTCATTTAGTTTCAAGTACCTAAAATTGAACTAAATCTCATATTATTGCTTTATTAAAGTCTAATATCCCATCCATCAAGTCAACTGCTCTAGTTTTAGTGATGACCTGGAGAGAATTGTAGCAGCAACTACACTATTTGCAGCTTCTGTGTAGTGGACACCATCCCATACGATGGCTGATGTTACATTATTGCATATGCTGTACCCCGGTTGCCCGCATGTGGCTTTCACATTGTAATTGTTGGGAGGCCCTCCATACCCACAGCATGCCTTGAATGGTTCTACAAATCCTGTCAACCAACCCACAAACCACCGTTAGTCTCATTATCATTCGCACACTATAAGATGTGTGTGGGTGTGGGTTGCTTTATTACCATATTTTGAGGGCTCTGCGAAGAGATTGTATTTGATGCTGTACACATCCACATACACAATAACTGCATCTTTCAATAACGACCTCAACTCTTTGCACATTTTATGTAAACCTTTGTTAAAAAGTTTTGCTAAATCGTTGTGGACACGGAAGCATCCAATTTTGTCAAGGTCTGTAGCATTGTGTGCATGTAATGCAAGCTCTTTAGGAGCACAACCCAGTGGCCCGGTGTTGTGTATCCAGAACTTTCTACCACCATACTGGTATAACGTCTGCATTTCACATATTTTTCAATCATACATCTAGTTAAAACAGTAAACAAGATGAAATGAAATCAAGAGATACTCACTTGAACAGCTAGTTTGATTTCTGCTATAAAAGATGGAATTTTGGCTGCAACTGGGGCATAACTGAGATTTGCTGCATATAGTGCGACCAGTAGATCATTTTGTCCTATATCTATCATGTAAACTGCACTATGGAATCCATCTTCATTGATAAAGTTCCCAGAACCTGTTATCATCCAAATTAAAGAAAACAGATAACATGCACAAAGCAAGTAATGCATACATACCGAGGGAAAGGAGTTCAAGTGACCGATTCTTGAAGTGCACGAATTGGCGAACCTGAACATCAAGCTGAAAAGGTACAAATTGTGGTAGAGTCATGGCTCCAGCTACTGCAAAATTTACGCCACTCGTAAAATTTGGTGCCAAGGACTCCAGATATGGGCTCAAATAGCTCAGCTTCAGATGTTCACCTGTTTCAAGAATCAAAATTCATCAAATTTACCAGATAAAGATATTATATATATATATATATATATATATATATATATATATATATATATATATATATATATGATGAGAGAGAGAGAGAGAGAGAGAGAGAGAGAGAGAGACTTACAGAAAAAATCAATGATGAGGCGACCATCACCAAAACGGCCGGTGCCTCTGTGAAAGAAGGTAATGCCGTGTGGAAGGCCAATGGGAAGTCCTGCACCGGCCAGCACTCCTCCAGTGTCGGAATTTGAGTCACCAAAGTTAATTATACGAATAGCTGGTCTCGCTCTTGCTCTTGCTCTGGTGGACCCCGACATACCTAACACTAACACCATACAGACCCATAATATTACCAGCCTCTTCTTCATATCCATCTCAAACCACTACCTAATCTGTCTCTTTAGTTCCAATCTTTTGCTCAAAACCTTCATCTCAATATATACACATGTTGATGACCATCATTTCAGGAATTATTTATAAAATCAAGTTGCACGCATAAACTTTTATATATATATATATATATATATATATATATATATATATATATATATATATATATATATATATATATATATATATATATATATATATATATATATATATATATATTACAAAGGAAAGGAACATGCATGCATGTGGATCACCACCAGTTGAGGAATTAAATACATCAAGTTGCAGGATGTATATTGTAAAATTAAGGAGCCAAAGCCTAGCGAACAAGGGGCCAAGGGGGCGTGCGTTTACATATACTCTTAGATTTATAAAACATTTTTAGGAATAGGCATCTCTTAATAATAGGGGTGACAATCTTCGATCCAACCCGTAACCCGACATTGACCCAACACGAAAATAAATGAGTTTGGGTTGAGATTTTTGACCCGTCAACCCGTTTATTTCATGGGTTGGGTTAGGTTACTTGTTTGGGTTTACGGGTCAACCCGTCAAACTGATTATATATATATATATATATATATATATATATATATATATATATATATATATATATATATATATATATATATATATATATATATATATATATATATATATATTCTAATCCTATTTAATAAATGAAGGTTTTTTTGCTACATATCATTTTTTTAATTTTTTCAATTTCATTTAAATCCACTTGGTAAATTGTGGTTTTTTTGGTTTGTTATTAAATTATAAAAAAATCTAATCTAAAAATATAATAAACAGAATAAGGAAACTTAAATGTCTCCATAAATCTTCACATAATTTGTCCATTAATGTATTAAATTCAATTTAAATTCAAATCAACTTTCTTAATTGAAAAACATAATTTTCGGGCAATCCATTTTGAATTTACGATAATTTGTAGAAACCTTGCAAAAATTGGTTTATTCACAGCTAATATTGATATTCTTTCAAATTCACTTTTGTAAATTATTAAACATGTAATGCTTAACAAAATATATTAAAAAAAAATTAAAAAAAAAAAAAAAAAAAAAAACCCCGTGTATTACACGGGTCTCACACCTAATAAATGAATAGTTTTAACCTCCTTTTGCCAAGTTTCACTCTAATACAACTTCTCATTTAATATTATGTCATGTGTCATGTAGATATATTAGGCAACTCATTTCAAAATTCAAATTTACATTTTCAAATTATATGTTAAACTTGAAGTCATAATAATTGTAACATTCCGAGTCCAGGAGTGCAAGTTCGGGGTTCAAAGTGTAAATTTGAAGGGCAACTCGGTGAGTTCATGGGCTAACTCGGCAAGTAGGGTCGCGACTCAGGTTGTGTGTTAAGTGGCCAACTCGGCGAGTCTAAGGCTGGACTCGGCGAGTAGGCGTTGTGCGAAGAAAACCATAATTTCGGGGGATGAGCCCTATATAAAGGGCATTATACCCTCTCCCCAGCCTCCTTACCTTCCCTTGAAGTCCAGAAAACCCTAGAAGCGTGATTGTAAAGGATTTGAGTGCATTTGAGCTTGGGAGAAGTGATTTGGAGGAAGATCTTGGAGAGTTAGGAGGCTTGGAGCAAGGGGCTTTGCTTAGATTCGGATTTCCTTGCTGATTGGGGCTTCCTTTTGAGGTATTATCTCGTTTTTGGGTTGCTATTCATCTAGATTCATCATTTTTGGGATGTGTGGGAAGTTTGGCTTGTGGTATTTAGAGTTTGAAGGATAGATCTGAGGTTGCCACCTCAGATCTAGAATGGAGAAGGTCTAGAGTGCATTAAAGTCCCTGTTCTTGAGTGTTTGGTGAAGCTATATTGTCCCAAACCCTAGCCCTAGAGTGTAAAATGCCTAGATCTCTTTGGATTCACGTAAAGTTTGCCACTTTACGTGATGGATGGGTTGTATAAGGGTAGATCTATGTTTTGAATCATCTGCATGGCCTGAAAATCTTTCGCATGGGTTAAGATCTAGAGGCACTTGGCGAGTCACAAAGGTGTACTCGGCGAGTTGCTTGAAGATGGACTGAAACTCGGCGAGTTGGAAGAACAACTCGGCGAGTAGGTTGAAGATGGCCTTGGACTCGGCGAGTTTGTTCTTGGACTCGGCGAGTCTGGTCATGAGATCCAAACTTCTTCTGGTGAAGCCATGAATCAGTGAGTCAAGGGAGGACTCGGTGAGTGAGTGAGAGGGGACTCAGAGTTGTGGGACTCGACGAGTCTCTGGGTGACTCGGCGAGTTGAGTCGCGGATTGGGGAAGTTATGAGCATGGGGACTCGACGAGTCATTAGGTTGACTCGGCGAGTAGAGTCAGTCAGGAGGATGACTTTGACTTTGACTTTGACCAAGGGTTAACCAGTTGACTTCCAGGGGCATTTTAGTAATTGTTGGCTTTTGTTTTGAGTTCAATGTTGGTGTTAGCCAGTGGTGGAGATCGCGTCAGCGGTTGGAACATCTCGGTCTTATCTTTCCAGTCAGCAGTTGCGAGGTGAGTTATCCTCACTATATCAACAGGGTCTAAGGCACCAAGGTCGGCCCTTTATCAGATTGTAATCTGGGTATTGTCGTAATGTTGTTGTTTACTATGTTTGCATCCTGGTAGTTAGGATGGTATTCGTTAGAGACCTTGTTAAGGTCGGTATCCTAGTAAATAGGTTGGTATTCTGCTTAGAGTATGTTGTGTTACATGATCTTCTAGATCGGTTTGATTGATTGTGAATTGTTGTATGATTGTATGTTTATGTGCACATGATTGTTTGAGTGGGGTTTGGGTTGAGGCGGGACCTGCTTTGTGTTGTAGGCCAACATACCCAGGGCGGACCGGTTATTCCGAAGGCCCAGCGAGGGGTCCGGATAGACTGTAGGCCCACGAGGGCGGACCAGACGTGCTGAGGCTCGGAGAGTGGACCAGGCCGACTGAAGGCCCGGTGTGGGCGGACCAGTCATACTGTAGACTCAGAGAGTGGACCAGGTGGATTGAAGACCCGGTGCAGGCAGACCAACCACACTGCAGACTCGATGTATATGGCTAGACGCGGAGGGTGGACCAGGTGGACTGTTGGCCGATGCGGCGGACTACTCACACAGTAGACCTGATATGCATGACTGTTCTGTGATTCGATATGATATAGTGTGTTATGTGTGTGGTATATGTGGTTGGTATTTTGGGGGTATCTCACTAAGCTTTCGGGTATACAGTTGTGGTTTAATGTTTTTCAGGTTCTTCAGGAGACTGTGGCAAGACAAAGACGTGATCGTACCGCTCCTTCTGTTTGTGTTTTATGTTATGGTTTTGGGAAATACTCTGATAATAAATGTATTGAAAACCTTTTTGTAATAACATTATTAAAATGGGTTGTTTTTGAAAAGTTAAAATTTGTTGAAATTTTTGGTCGTTACAATAACTTTAAAATTTTGATATATCTCTTAATTAATAATTTATTTAAAATGACTTATTTAAAACAATTGATTAATAATTATAAATTTTTATTATAAAATTTTAATTAATTTTATAACCGTGGTTCCCACGGGTTATAAACTAGTGTGTGTGTGTGTGTATATATATATATATATATATATATATATATATATATATGGGAAAAATAAATATACCCATAAGGATATATAAACTTAGGTACCCAAACTCACCATACTATGCCATTTTGTATGATATATATACATTGTAATTGCGCAATGTTCTTATAATTAAACTTCTAACTTGATTTACTTCCAAAATTTTTATAATTTCACATTTATCTTCCTCTCATATAATTTTCATTTTAAACTAATATATATATATATATATATATATATATATATATATATATATATATATATATATATATATATATATATATATATATATAACCTAATAGGTGTTTGGCAAAAAATATGATGTAAGAGGAAGATAATAGTGAAATTTTGAAAATCTTGAAAGTAAATCAAGTTAGGATTGATGTTTAAGAACATTATAATGAATATATAAAAAAAATGACGTTTTATGATGGGTTTGGGTACCTAAGCTTATATACCCTTAAGGATAAATTCAATTTTCTCATATATATATATATATATAATGTTTAAAAAATATATTTAATTATTTATTAGTTTTGAATATTTGATTATCATTTAATCGTTTTCCGAATTCCAAAACTACAAAACTTTTTCAAGTCGACTTAGCGTACCCTAGCCCTTAAGAAGCCCCTATTAAAAAAGAAATTCAGTCTTCACTCTCCAAACTCACGACTCCGTGTCTCCCGCGTCTCAGTCGATTGAGGCATCGAGTCATCGACTGTCGCAGTATCGCACGCACGCACACCACTCATCTTCTCGTCCTCCGGTTGTCGCACACCATTCGTCGTCGTCCCTCCTATTTATGACTTTATGTTGGATGTTTAAGACTTTATGACTTCATTTTATTTGTATTTTTTTAATTTTATTTTAAAATGTGTTGCTTATTAAATGGGTTATACGGGTTGGGTTCAACCCACTGACCCACAAACCCATATACTTATATAGGTTATATGAGCTGGGTTGGGTTGATGTTTTCAACCCGCCAACCCGTGTCCTGCTAAGCCACCAACCCATATATTATATGGGTTGGGTTGGGTCAATGTATTATGACCCGTCAACCCGAACCCAACCCAATTGTCAGGCCTAGTTAATAAGTGGTATTATCTAGACTTGGTCTCTACTTTAAGGGTTACGTTGGTTAGTTAAAGGTTGCGGTGTTTGGCCTAACCAAATTGGCAGTTATTTAACTTCTTAATTAACTTATATATATATATATATATATATATATATATATATATATATATATATATATATATATATGACTCAAAGTTTCCCGAGAACCCGAGAACTAAAAGTGCACCACTCTATCAAAAGTTTTAAGGGCTAAGATTTTTAATTACAATCTCGTAATTAAGAGAAGTCCGAATGGTCTGT